AGACTCCTGGTGTTGGCAGTCATGGCATCTTAAGAGGCAGCCTTACCAGAATAACAGGTGAGGAGCAGAGGGGACAATGGTGCCGTGGCCGAGCTGAGTCATCCTTCAGGGCTGGAAGGGGGTCACCTAAGCGACACAGGACTATGTCCCCCCACACCAGGTAAAACTGGGTCACAAGGCCTTCTCCGCCCTCTCCCCACATGTTGCGTTCTTCCTGCGACACTGAGGCCTGGTGGCACCACCCTGAAGGCCCTCTGCCCCTGCAACTCAGCCATGGAGTAAGAGTGAAAGTAAGATTACAGAAATAAGAAAAGGAAAAGCTGCCAGGCGGTGGTGGCACACGCCTTTAATCCCAGCACTCCGGAGGCAGAGGCAGGCGGATCTCTGTGAGTTCGAGGCCAGGCTGGACCGATAGCCTCCAAAACAATACAGAGAAACCCTGTCTCATAAAAACCAAAAAAAAAAAAAAAAAAGGAAAAGCCCAGAGGCAGAAGCGAGATGGGACAATGTTTTTTGTTTGTTTGTTTGTTTTTTTGGTTTTTCGAGACAGAGTTTCTCTGTGGCTTTGGAGGCTGTCCTGGAACTCACTTGGTAGACCAGGCTGGCCTCAAACTCACAGAGATCCGCCTACCTCTGCCTCCCGAGTGCTGGGATTAAAGGCGTGCACCACCAACGCCCGGCGAGATGGGACAATTTAAGAAAAACTAAGCAGAAACAAGCCAGGCTAAGGCTGGGCACTTGTAAGTAATAATTCATCTCCTTGTGTATTTACCTGGGAGCTGGGTGTCGGGCCCCCTGAAAGAGTAAAGAGCAAGGAGCCAAAAGAGAAAAGACTAGAAAACAACCAACAACACGCCCTGGTCCTCCGCTCGGTACAGCCAGGACCCCCCCCCCCAACGGTGTGGTGCTCCAGGGTTGAAACACCTCTGTGGGTGGGACCTGAACTCGCCGGGCTCTGTGTAACCTCACTTCATCACTGGTGTTTTACCAGAAAGGGAGCTCAACACAGCCTACATTCTTTAATTTGGGGGTGGGAAAGGTTCGAGATGGGCTTTCTTTGGGTAGCCATTCTGGCCAGAGGATCTGGAGTTTCCTTGTGTCAGAGGCCTACGTGTCTTTTCTGTAGCCTGTCATGGCTGCTAAAGCAGGGGCTGAGTGAGGGTCTGGTCCCTTTATCTCTAAATTATTAGGAATGAAGCTTTTGAGTTTAGTTTACCCCTTTCAGTATGTGTAAGATAAAGCATATTGCATACTGAGTTTGGTCCTGTCCAAGGTTCCAGGCACCCACAGGGGATCATGGGATGTATCTCCTCCATGTTTGAGATGTTTCTGTATCTTGCCCATTTCTTACGGCATGCTGTTTGTCTGCCTCGTTGGGCTGTAGGGTCTGGTTCTGCTTGACCTATGGCTCCTAAGCACACGTCAAGGGGCAGTTACAGACAAGCTAATTTTCAAAGTGAATGGATAATATATAAAGCTTCTTGAGGGCAAGAGCCTTCCCAACCATAATATTTTTCCAGCTGTGGTTGTCCCTAAGCATGATGGGATTTCTGTGGTCAAGTCTGTCCCTCAGGATGATGGGAGTATTCCGGCTATGGGTTCATCTATGGGGAAACATTGACCATCACCTTAGCCTTTTGCCTGGCAATCCAGCTTCAGCTTGATCCCCAGCTGTCGGCTCTCCAGACCAAACCCTAAGGGATCTCCCCACAGACTTCTCTGCCCTCACAGAGCCCTCACCACCGTCCAGCCCAGACTCAGGGCAAGCCTCACCTCTTTGCAGAACCTTCAGTCACCCAGGTCTACCCTTGACTGGGCAGGGATGCTTCCATCTGGTCCTTAGTTTCCTCTACTGAAACATTGGGGGTTATTTTGTTCACTTTTGACTCACCTCCAGACAGCTGCAGAGAAAATTAAGGCCTTCTGTTTTGTTTTGTTTTGTTTTTTTTGGTTTTTCGAGAGAGGGTTTCTCTGTGGCTTTGGAGGCTGTCCTGGAACTCGCTTGGTAGTCCAGGCTGGTCTCGAACTCACAGAGATCCGCCTGTCTCTGCCTCCCGAGTGCTGGGATTAAAGGCGTGCGCCACCAATGCCCGGCCCAAATTAAGGCCTTCTGAAATGCTGATCTCTCTACGTAACAGTACTGGCTGTCCTGGAACTTGCTTTGTAGACCAGGCTGGCCTCAAACTCACAGAGATCCGCCTGCCTCTGCCTCCCGAATGCTGGGATTAAAGGCGTGCGCCACCACTGCCCAGCCCATAGATGGGTTTTCACAGCATAAAGAGCCTTTAAACTCAGGTCCTGGCCCAGGGTGAACTTGTCAGCTTCCCTTACTAGTATAGCAGACTAGGACATGTTACGGAATATTTGATCGAACTGTGACAGCCCAAGACTGTGTTAATAAAGTTAACCTTGAATCAGAGGTTGGAGCCAGTGATAACTGACTGGAATTAGTCATAGAGAAGACAAGAATATGGATAGAGAAGACACACAGGAAGGAGTAGGGAGGGACTTGAAGATTTCGAGCTGGGAAGTGTGGAGAGAAGGTCAGCAGGTGGTCCCTCCATCGCTTCTCTGATCAATCATGCTTTCACCGTGATATTTGACTCCCGAGTCTTTACTGGTAATAAGAACAGCTTTGATAGACACATCAAAGGCATGCAGACGGGGTGGCCAACTGGAGGCCACTGGGTCCAGATATTTGGATAAATATGCGACACCCACCAGGGTCCCAGGCTCTGAGTCTTATGGATGAAGAGGTGGAGTGGTTTAAAGAAGTCTGTGTCGCTGGGCGGTGGTGGCACACGCCTTTAATCCCAGCACTCGGGAGGCAGAGGCAGGCGGATCTCTGTGAGTTCGAGGCCGGGCTGGACCAACAGCCTCCAAGACAATACAGAGAAACCCTGTCTCGTAAAACCAAAACAAAAAGATGTCTGTGTGGAAGCTGTCTCAGTTCACTTTAAAGGCTGGTCTTCTGCAGTGGCAGAATAGAGGGGCTGGGCTATTGTAGCCAACTCAGAAATCCAGAGCTGCAATACCCCACCCCCACCCCACAGGAATGTCCTTACCTGCTTCTCTGCCTGAGGAATGGGGATCTGAAGGGTGGTCTCCTCTCCTGCAACACTGTGAGGATTGATGATCCATTGATTGATTGATTACGTTGAATGATCTTTATCCCAGACAGGAGACTTCTATTTGGCAGAACTGAGCCTTTTTCTCAGAGACAAGACACCTCATCTATGCCTGCCACAGCTGGAGCAAGTCTTTTGTGTCTTTCAAACAGGTGGCAGTGGCAGTGGCAGCAGCTGCCAAAAGATCATCTACATACTGGAGCAGAACTGTTACAGTGCTGAGTACACCCTGAGTCCTGTTATGTCTTTGGTAATGCCTCCCCAAAGAGTGTGGGGGAATTTTGAGCCCTTGGGGTAGCCATATCAAGATTAGCTGGCTAGTGTAAGCATTGCAGCAGCTTGGATGGATGGGGATTCTGGCACTCGAGAGCCAAAGAATACTGTGTGTTACAGCTCAGATGAAAAAGCATTCTGGACGTGCACTGGTGGTGCATGCCTTTAATCCCAGCACTCTCAAGGTAGAGGCAGGCAGATCTCTGTGAGTTCAAGGCCAGCCTGGTCTACAGAACGAGTTTCAGGACAGCTTCCAAAACAATACAGAGAAACCCTGTCTCAAAAACAACAACAACAAAAACCAAAACCAAAACCAAACAAAATATTCTGGAACTTCGGAGCCAAAGAATACCACAGGTCACAGAAATCATAGCAGCTTACAGCCCTACTCCAGGGAAAGGCTTCCCTAGTGCACCAGCTCTGCTCCGGCAGGGCAGGGCCTTCCCCAGAGAAGTTGTTACAGTTCAGCTCAGATCCCCCAGAGTGTAACAACTCCACTTCACTAGGGGTAGGTTTCCCAGGCAAAAGTGTCACAGTCCTACTCAACTGGCTTAGTTCTACTCTGACTCTGGCAAAAAGTTGTTACTTCTCTCTTCCATTCCATACTGGCAAAGGAAGGTCTCACCCAAACCTCATTCAAGAGCTTTATTGGGAAAGAAGAATCCAGGAGAGTGGCTGCCCTCTGCCAGGGTGGCAGAGGACAGCGGGACAGTCACAAACTGAACAGACAGGGTTTATATAGGGCTTCTTAGGGGGGAGTTTTTCCAGGGAGATTTCCAGGGTGGGGAATGGTCAGATTTCAATCCCTGAGCTCAGAAAGGCTAGATCTCCTGCTCAGGGATTGGTTGGTTTTCTTCTCAGGTTCAGGGTCAGATTTGGCTCTAATTTCAGGGTCAGAGTGCATTTCTTTGGTTCTGGTTGCAGGGACAAAGTGTGTTTCTTTGGCTCTGCTCAGGGTGTGTTTCTTTGGCTGGTCCCTTTTCCCTACACTCTTCCCTGCAAAGCCCGCTAGCCTTTAGAGGTTTGTTGTTGTTGTTTTGTTTTGTTTTTGTTTTCTTTGAATGTCTGGGGCTGACTGAGTGACAAAAGCTAAATTTAATGCTCTAGCGTTTTTCTGGAGTCAGTGGATCAAAGAGATATAAATCCTGGTAGCTTCTTGTAATTGTGAGAAACGCTCCAGGAGACTCTTCTGGGCCCTGAGGGACCCCAATAGTCTTCGATTTGCGGAGTTTTGAGCTGCACCCGAACTCTAGTCATAAGGTACCGGTGAAGTGTCCAGGGCCTGGGAACCTTTGTAAGTATTGCGGTTCCAATCACGGTGATTGAATGTGAAAACGACTTCAAAAGTAGCTTTTCAGCTGAGGCAAAAAAAAAAAAAAAAAAAAAAGTCTTTATTGCCTCTGCCCCCACAATGTTCTTTCCTCTGAAGAGAAGAGTCGGGCGGGGAGTTGCTAGCAATCATCCCAGGGTTTAGGACGGATTGAAGGAGGGCATTTAGGTTTTGGGGCTGGGTGTGGGGGGTGGGGGGTGGGGTGCCTGCATCCTCCAGTTGTACAAATCTGAAGTAGATGGGCAAGAGTGCCGCCTCCCTCTAAGACCTTGCCCCCCCATGTGGAGGTGGAGCATCTTGTGACACAAAAACAGAGGCATGGCTGAGTCCAGGCATGGCTGGCTGAAGGACGTGTGGGATGTTGGGGAAACTGGCCATATCCACCCATCAGGGGACGTAGAAGTAAGTCACAGACGGGGCGGAAGCAGAGACCCAGAAGGGGAAGTGGGTGAAGTAGGGGTGGCTGCGGGTGCGGAGGTGGATAGAGTGTGGGGGGACCGGATAGAGGGGCCTGTGGTTGCGGGGAGGAGGAAGACTTGAAAGAGGTGGGGAAGACGGGGGAGATGGGCTGCACACGGAGGGAGGAAGCCAAGCAGAAGGTCCTCGGCGTCGGGACAAGCGGCGGGAGGCTGGAGACGGGGCCGCATGTCAGCACCTGGGAGCCCCGTGGTCCGCTCCCGACTGCGAGGAGCCGGGCGTTGCGCCCCCGCCCCCCAGGAGCAGGAGCTCCGCACCGGGATGGAGGGGGGCCGGGGACCACAGCGAGCGCAGGCGGGGACCTGGCTGGTGAAGCAGGCCTGGGCTGGGGGAAGGGCCAGGGGTGTGGCTCCAGGACTTGGAAATTTCCAGTCCTGGAGCTAGGAAGGAGGCATTCCTAGCAGACAAAAAGACTGCTAACAACGACATGCAGAGAGTGCCACCTACTGGCCGACTCTGGAAAAACCAGCAGAATTTCAGATGAGTCCGCTCCCCTTGATGGGGCGCAGCGATGAGACAAAACGGAAACACAAGCAGCAAAATCAAGAAATCAAATAAACAACTAACTCCCCAGGCCAAACTTGCGCATCAAGCACTTACTCATTCAAGCAAAGCTGAAGCCATTCTCTCTACTGAGAGACAGAACCAGGATACAGGGTCCCCCACTATTGGAGGAGTGGGGAAGGATTTCCAGTCAGAAACTTTCTTCCCAAACCAGGAAGAGGCTCCCCCAAAAAGGACCTCCCTAACCTCAAGCCTATCCCTCTTGGGCCTATCCCCTTATCCAGAAGAAGGCTCCCCTGGGGCTCAGCCCTCTTACCCACAAGGCTCCCGGTCGGGCTCGACCTCCTCCACCAGAACAGCAATCATCCCAGACCTCTCCCGACTGCGCGAGAGAAGAGGGGCCTTGAACATCTCCCCTGCCACCTCTCCCCGGCCAGGAAGGCTGGGCTGGGCTGATGTGGGAAGCTGTCTTTGCGGGGCTGCAGGCGGAGCCAGCTAGGCAGCCCACGGTTGGTACCTGAGAGGGGAGTGTAGACTAAAGGAAGACCCGCTAAAGGAAGAGAGAGACACAGAACAGACGTCAGGAGGGCAGACTCAGTCAATACTGCACGCACCCCAAGTTTATTTTTCACCACTCTTGTATACCTTAACCAAAAGGAGGAACACGGTATGTCATGTATATGGAACAAACAGACTTTTCTTCCTGGTTTCTCCAAGGGATCAGTAACCACACCTCAGCTTCAATTTCTCATTACCTGGCCTTGAGGGTCAGGAGTAACCACACCTCAGACCAGGCCTGTTGTTATTTAGATAAGACACCCAAGGCCAAGATCGAACGTCCTACTGTAGGTCTTATGACTTATGAGGACAGTTTTTGAACTCTCTGCCCTTGAGCCAAGATGGATTGGAGCCATCTTTATGGGTACCGACAGGCTGAAACAAGCCTGCTAGATAGTTGCTGACAATCACGGCGATTAAGTCAATTAAAAGTTCTGAGTCCTTTTTAATAGCCAGACCAAGAGTGGGCTCATCCCTCTGGTGAGATTCTTGGTGCCCAAGCTCAGGGGTCCAGTGTTTTTAAAGACAAAACCACATTTACATCAGCTGGGGCTGGGGAGCACATTAGTGAGGACTCGGAAAGGTCTGGTAACATCTGCTGGTATTGTAAGGCTTGGCAGCACCTTCCAGACACTACAGAGTATGTTTAGAGCGTGATCAAGGTCAGGGACTGTCCTGGAAGCCTCACCAAAGTGAATGTGGCTGGGGGAAGGACGGCTGAACAGTGACCAGGCAGGTCCAAAACGACACTGGAAAAGCATGGATTAACCTAGTCATTTAACAGACTACCCCTTACCACACTTCCGTCAGTGCTGATGGGGGTCTCTATCTGATTCCGGTGGGTCTGGGATAGAAATCACCCTCAGATGGCAGACGTGGGGCTTAAGGGTCCAGGATCCCCTGAGGGAAGCAGCTGAGGACAGTCACATGGTGGGGCTGTGCACAGATTGCCAAGTGTCTCGTCCTGTCACCTTCCTCTGTCTGTCATCTCAAAGAAAAAGCTGCATACGTGACCAAGTAGACCAAAACATGTAGGAAAGGAAGGAGGAAAGAACATGTACATACACATAAATATACACAGGTACAAATATGTACATGCACACACAAAAATGTACACATGTACACACATATAAACATACAAATACACACAAATGTAAACATGTACACAGACATAAACATACATGTACATGTGCATATTTTATGTGTACATGTATATATCTATCTACATGTGCATATGTGAATATGTGTGAACATATATGTGCTTGTATATATTCATATGTGCATGGAATATTTATGTGCATATATGCATGTACATGTGTGTTTTGTGCGTGTTCAAGTGTTTATGTATGTGTACGTGTATAGGTTTATGTATTTGTACATATGTATCTTTATGTATATATGTACACGTGTTTATTTATTGTGCATGTGTGTATGTTTATGTGTGTGTGGTGCTTTGAATAAGAATGACCCCCATAGGCTTATATATTTAAATGCTTCATCACCAGGGAGAGGAAATCTCTGAAAGAATTAGAAGGATCAGGGGGTGTGGCCTTGTTGGAGGAAGTATGTCACTAGAGGTAGGTTTCAAAGGCCCATGCCAGGCCCAGTCAGTCAGTATTCCTGTCCCTCTCTGTCTCTCTGGCTGTCTCTCTCTTCCTGTCTGTCTCTCTTTTTCTGTCTCTCTCTCCTTTCTTTTTCTGTGTGTGTGTGTGTGTGTGTGTGTGTGTGTGTGTGTGTGCGCGCGCGCGCGCGCGTGTCTCAGTCTGTGGTTCAGGATGTAGTTCTCAGCTCCTGCTTCAGTGTTCTGGAGATGTCCCCTGTGTTATTAATTAGTGAATAAGAACTAGCGCGATGGACGGAGCACAAGCCATGGAGAACATATTAATCATAGTTTATTATAGCAAGACCAAAAGCGGGGAGACAGACATGAGAGAGTAAGGTAAGAGAGAAGAGGAGAGATGAGAGAGGGGATGAGAGTGAGGGAAGATGGATAAGAGAGAGTTTAAGGGGGCAGGGTCTGTCCTTTAAAGGGGTCCTTTGCAACTGCATGCAGACTGGTTCTCACAGAACTCTGGGCTGGCCAGAGTGCTGCCTGAGTGCATTCTGCCAGGTAACAGGCAAGCCAGTGTAATGCCGGAACCTTTCATCCCACCTTTATTTATGATTAAAAGAGGTGGGGGTGTTAGACGTGGCAGGTAAGGGAATAAGAACTTTGAGTTCTTAAGACTGCTTCCTGCTGACCTGGGGGCATTGATTATTTTGGGGGGAACCTGAGAAAGCTGTGGTGTTGCCACATCCAGAGTAGCTGGTTTTCCATCACAGTTCTGGCTGTCTGAAACTCTGGAGTCTCTGTAGGTCTGGCAAGATCTTAGCAGAATAGAGGACAAAGTTAGGCTTAAAAATGTTTTTCTCAGGTCCTGGTATATGAGGGGAATGAAGGCTATGATGATAATGGAGTAAGCATCTGAAGCTGTAAGCCATTCCCAATTAAGTTTTTTCTAATGCAAGAGTTGCCTCAGAGCTTGGTGGTGGTGGTGGCACACGCCTTTAATCCCAGCACTTGGGAAGCAGAGGCAGGTGGATCTCTGTGAGTCTGAGGTCAGCCTGGTCTACAGAGTGAGTTCCAGGACAGCCAGGGCTGTTACACAGAGAAACCCTGTCAACAAAAACAAACACAAAATTCAGTTGTCTTGGTCACAGTGTCTCAATAGAAATAGAAAAGTGACAAGACAGTGTACGTGTCTTGCTTACATGTGTATACATGTGACTATTTGAGATGTATACATGTATATTTATGTGTGCACATGTATATATTTGTGTGTGTATATTTGCATGCATGTGTGTATATTTACACCTTTTTAGCTATGTGTACATGTATATATTTACACCTTTTTAACCTGTGTGTACATTCAATGTACACATTGCATGCAAATGTCTTTTTGTGTGTTTGTGTGTATATTCATGTGTGTGCATGTATATATTTGTGTTTGTAATGTTTATGTATGTGTGCAAGTACACATGTGTATAATTATTTGTACATTTATGTGTATGTACATGCAAATAGTTGTGTATGTACATGTGTGCACTTTTGTGTACATGTGTATATTTATGAGGGTACAATTGTATTATATATTTATGTGTGTTCGTGTATACTTGTGTGTACATGCGCATATTTATGTGTACATATGTATGCATATGTCTGCATGTGTATATTTGTGTTTACATGTATATGTTCATTGTTTTTTCGAGACAGAGTTTCTCTGTGTAGCTTTGGAGCCTGTCCTGGAACTTGCTCTGTAGAACAGGCTGTCCTTGAACTCAGATCCCCCTGCCTCTGCCTCCTGAGTGCTGGGATTAAAGGCGTGCACCACCAATGCCCGGGAAGTCTGTGATTTAGTGAATTCTCTAATTCAGATTTCCTGTGACGAGATGGTCACATCCAACTCTACTTGGGAAAAGGGGTAGAGAAGACCACTTCACAGGCCACTTTCCCTTTGGGTTTAAGTTGTTGGCGCACGCCTTTAATCCCAGCACTTGGGAGGCAGAGGCAAGCAAATCTCTGTGAGTTCCAGGCCATCCTGGTCTACAAAGCGAGTTCCAGGAAAGCCTCCAAAACAATACAGAGAAACCCTGTCTCGAAAAAACCAAAAAAAAAAAAAAAAAGTTGTTATTAACTACTAGCGAGAGCAGCTGAGCTCTTCTGACTTCTTGGATAATCTTCCTTCGCTAGGATATTTCTGAGGAGCTGCTTGCTGCCTTAGCGATGGATCAGTCATCAGGACTTTGTCAATATCCTGTCAGCAACTGCTTGGATAGAGCTCTTACCCTAGAGGTCACTCAATAAAGGTAACATGAGTAATTTAAACTCTGGCTTTGTGTCTTCATCGGGGCTTTTCTATGACCTTTTACCGTAAAGATGATTTTTTTAAATTTTTAAAAAGATTTATTTATTACATATACAGTGTTCCGCCTGCATGTATGCTTGTACACCAGAAGAGAGCACCAGATCCCATTACTGATAGTTGTGAGCCACCATGTGGTTGCTGGGAATTGAACTCAGAACCTCTGGAAGAACAGCCAGTGCTCTTAACCTCTGGGCCATCTTTCCAGCCCCCAAAGATGATTTTAATAAACCCCATACTAACATTTTTCTCCTTTGGGTATTTTAAATGTGATACTCCATTGTCATCTCAGAAAAGGGAGTTAATATAAGAGTCTGATGATTCCCAGCACTCGGGAGGCAGAGGCAGGTGGATCTCTGTGAGTTCGAGAGCAGCCTGGACTACCAAGCGAGTTCCAGGATAGCCTCCAAAGCCACAGAGAAACCCTGTCTCGAAAAACCAAAAAAAAAAAAAAAAAAAAAGAGTCTGATGATATTCTGAAGTCCTAAGATTGGTTCCAAGGACCCATACAGAGAAGGGCAGAACCAAACCCGAAAGTCACCTGACCTACACGCGTGTGCTGTGGCACATGGACATGCACACACCCCACACACACAAAAATTAATGCAACAAAAATTTAAGCTTATTTTTAATGGTGTCCTGGGGCTTGTGGTCAACATCTTAATGTCACCTGTAGTGTAAAGCAGTGCACTCTGGACTATTAACTTCCATGCTATGCAATTTTTTTCTTCCTATTTATTCTCTGTCCCTTCCCTAGTGCTTTTATGGTCATACGAACCACATACTTCATGGTATGTACATATCAACATGAATTCACAATTATTACTTTATAGATCTATCAATCAGATGGCTATAAATTAAATATATCCAGACTTTAAGATTTACTTCATTCATGAGACTGCCATGCTGTCTACTGCGTTTAAGAGGCTCCTGCAAGGCTTTTTTAAAAATATTTTTTGAGACAGTTTCTCTGTGTAGCTCTGGCTGTCCTGGAGTTCAAGACCAGCCTGGTCTACAGAGTGAGTTCCAGGACAGCCTCCAAAGCAATACAGAGAAACCCTGTCTCAAAAACAAATAAAGCCAGGCGTTGGTGGCGCACGCCTTTAATCCCAGTACTCGGGAGGCAGAGGGAGGCAGATCACTGTGAGTTCGAGACCAGCCTGGTCTACCGAGCAAGTTCCAGGACAGCCTCCAAAACCACAGAGAAACCCTGTCTCAAAAAACCAAAAAAAAAAAAAAAAAAAAAAGAAAAAAAAAGAAAAAGAAAAACAAATAAAAGAAGAAAGAAGAAAAACATCCCTGTACACTACATGGGTTTAGTCCTTTTGACAGTATTCTTTTTGGGGGTAGGGGGTTTCATATTTTGGCATGAAATACCTGTGTACCAATTATTCTCATTGGTCAGTGCTGAGAGGGAACATTCTGTGGTTTCTATGGCTTTGCCTTCTTACTTGCAGGTGGCCTGTTGTACATAGATACCAATAGTTTTCAGAACTATATCCTGGAGACTACAGGGGAGGCCAAACAGTTCCCAGAAGGCAAGTATCTAGGATACTAGGGGGAGTCAGGAGTTTCTTTGTGTTCAGTTTTGGCCCTAGACTTCAGGAGGCCAGAAGATCTGGAGTTTCCTTGTGTCATGTGCTGTGTCAGAGGCCTGTGTGTCTTTTCTGTACCCTGTCATAGATGCTAAAGCAGGGGTTGAGTGAGGGTCTGGTCCCTTCAATGATAAAGATGTTGAAGATTCTTTCCATCTCAACTTCTACGTCTACTCCCTCACACACTAAGCAGCATGTGGCAGGGGCTCAGACAGTCACTATGCCATACCATGGCCACTGGACGTTAAACAAGAAAAAACTTTGAGTCAGAGATCCAACAGGGCAAGGAGGCTGCAGTAGTTTTCCCAGCACCCTCTGCGCCAGGGTCATACAAAGGGAAGGCACAGATCGGGCTCTTCTGAGCTCTGGCTCACCTTTACAGCAACGGGTCCTCACAAAACTATCACCGAGCATTGGTGGCGCACGCCTTTAAATCCCAGCACTCGGGAGGCAGAGGCACGCGGATCTCTGTGAGTTTGAAACCAGCCTGGTCTACAGAGCGAGTTCCAGGACAGCCTTCAAACAATACAGAGAAACTCTGTCTTGAAAAACAAAAAACAAAACAAAACAAAAAAAACAAACAAAAAAATGTGGCTTAAAGGGGCTAGAGAGATAGTTCAGTGGTTAGGATCACTGGCTACTCTTGCAACAGACCCAGGTTTAGTTCCCAGCACCCACATGGTGGCTCACCTGCTGTAACACAAGTTCCAGGGGCTTTAATGACCTCTGTGAGCACCATGAACACACATGGTGCACAGACATACATGTGGGCACAGTATCCATACATATAAAAATAATGTGGCTTAATAGAAAGAATATGAAGAATCCAATGGTGAAATAAAATAAAAGAAACAGTCATATTGCACCATAGAACAGCAAATGTCAAAATAAGAAATAAATAGATTTAGATAAACAATCTAGTTTATTCTTGTATTATAGCAGAAGTACCTATGGCTATTTTATAAGGTATGTCAGTACCTCATACACAGGATCTAATGGAAGGCATATTTAAAGATGAATTTTGTTTGTCGTTCTCCCAACCCTTTTGTTTGTTTGTTTTTTTGAGACAAGGTTTCTCTGTATTGCTTTGGAGGTTGTCCTGGAACTCTCTGTAGACCAGGCTGGTCTCGAACTCACAGAGATCCGCCTGCCTCTGCCTGCCGAGTGCTGGGATTAAAGGCGTGCGCCACCAACGCCCGGCCTTTTTATTCTTTATACCAGTAATTTCATGTTGAGAACGAAGCAAATGCCTTGCTTGATTACAGCTTCATTTAGTAGCTCTGAGGCCATTCCCCTCTATACTGGCTTCCCTCTTTGTAAATGTGCACTAGTAAGAGTCCATCCAGCTGGGCGTTGGTAGCACACACCTTTAATCCCAGAACTCAGCAGGCAGAGGCAGGTGGATCTCTGTGAGTTCGAGACCAGCCTGGTCTACAAGAGCTAGTTCCAGGACAGCCTCCAAAAGCCTTGGAGAAACCCTGTCTTGAAAAAACGAAAAACAAAAACAAACAAAAAAACAGTCCATCCAGTGGGGTCTCCATGGCATCTGAACAAAAGAACAGATGACAGCCAAGTGGTGGTGACACACACCTTTAATCCCAGCACTGGGGAGGCAGAGGCAGACAGCTCTCTGAGTTTGAGGCCAGCCCTGTCTACACAGAGAAACCCTGTCTCAAAAAACAAAACAAGGGTGGTGGTGGTGAAGGAAGAGGAGGAAGAGGAAGAGGAGGAGGAGGAGCACGCCTTTAATCCCAGGACTCCGGAGACAGAGACAGGCGAATGGATCTCTGTGAGTTCAAGGCCAGCCTGGTCTACAGTGCAGAGTTCCAGGACAGGTTCCAAAGCAATACAGAGAAACCCTAACTCAAAAAACAACAACAACAAAAAAAATTAACTAATATACAATACTAAGATTATCTTGACAGGAACAGATTCTTTTCTAATTAATTTTTTTCCAGCCCAATCATATCCCTTCCCTTTCTCCTCTCCTAGTCCCTCCCCCTCAATCTCTCTTCTTCCTTACTCCCAGTCCTCCGCCTTTCTCTTCAGAAAAGGGCAGGCCTCCCGTGCATATATCAGTCAGTCATGGCATATCAAGTTGCAGCAAGACTAGGCACCTCCTCTCCTATTAAGGCTGGACAAGGCAACCCAGTAGGAGGAAAGACACACAGATTTTTTAAAAATAAATCCTAACAAGCCGGGCGTTGGTGGCGCACGCCTTTAATCCCAGCACTCGGGAGGCAGAGGCAGGTGGATCTCTGTGAGTTCGAGGCCAGCCTGGTCTAAAAAGTGAGTTCCAGGACAGCCTCCAAAGCTACAGAGAAACCCTGTCTCGAAAAGCCAAAAAACAAAAAAAAAACAAAAATAAATCCTAACAATAACCCTAACCTCAGAACCAGACCAGAACCCCTAACCCTCAGCTAACCTTAACACCTTAACCCATCTAGTCCTCCAACCCTAACTCAAACTCTAAACCCTAACACACTAATCCTGTCACCTAACCCTAACCTACCATAACAATAAGTATTGAATACATAGTGCTGGAAAAAGAGAGAAATCAAGAATGACATAGGAGCCGGGCATTAGTGGCGCACGCCTTTAATCCCAGCACTCGGCAGGCAGAGGCAGGCGGATCTCTGTGAGTTCGAGGCCAGCCTGGTCTACAGAGTGAGTTCCAGGACAGCCTCTAAAGCCACAGAGAAAACCTGTCTTGAAAAAACAAAAACAAACAAACAAACAAAAAGAATGACATAGGTTTCTGGCTAACAACCAACTAGACAAGGCAGTAAATACCACTAGTCAGAAGGGAGACCCAGGGCCTAATTAGGTATTCTGTAACATGCTGAGTTTGAACTGCCCACAGAATACTCATACAGACAATAAATTATATTGGACTCCAAATTATATTTAGTCAAGCATTTGACTTTGGGCAACACCAGCAGATTACACTGGTGTGAAGATTCCTGGCTCACCTGAAAATCTCAACTCAGAGCAGAGAATCAGTACTGATGTCAACCCCCAAAGAGGCAGTGTGTGGGCTGGCAAAATGGCTAGAGAGTAAAGGCAACTGCCACCAAATCTAGAGACTGAGATTAATCCCTGACAGTTAACCCTCTGATCTACACACGTGTGCGTAGCATGCTCATATATACCCACACACATGCACATTCATACAAATAAATAAAGGTTAAAAAAAAAGACACCGTCTGCTACTACTCAATTCAAGTTAAGGCAAGTAGCTCCTTGGCTCCAAAGAACAAAACATGGCCTGATGGAGACCACACTGGCTCTCTGAAGACGATAACCTCCTCAGAAAAAAGACAACACGGACAAAGGCCTAACCGTCAGAGCTGTACCAAGTACAGGCAGCCCCTGCCTCACCTCACTCCCTCTACCACAGACATCACACGCCTCCACTCATCACCTATTTCTTTAAAAAAATATTTATTAGGGTGATCCTTTCAAAAGTGGCCCCGTGTATAGTACAATCACACAGCTTCTTCAGTTACTTACCACCAACAGCTACTCCAGAGACTGGAGTTCCATTCTTTCTACAACCCACTAACACTCGGGCTTATCACAGAGGAGTTCCCTAAAGCACCACTCTTCTGACGGGAGGAACATTTCCTTGAGTTCTCACAGAACAGTCTCACTCCGGCCAGCTGCTTCGTGTCCACACCAAGTTAGGGACAAACCAATCCCACTTCTGCCGAGAGAATTCCTAAAAAGATCCTATATTCCAGACACATGGCCACACCACCATGGAGGAGGATGACTAGTCCAGAATGCAGGAGAATCTAAAAGAAATTGAACTGAAATTCTTCATCAGTAAAGTCCACAGTGGCCTTGGTTCTTCCTGCTGGACGAAGCCTGTAGACCTTTCCACTCTTCCTTCTGGCTGTCTCACCTACAAGCTGTACCCGGGCTGAATGGGTAGCTGTGGGAAGAGGGGGCAGAGAGTCAGAACTGAGTAACAGTTAACAATGTCCACACAGTTAGGATTGTCCACACGATGTTCCTATAATGTCGATATTGTCATTCCCTGATGAGATTCAGAAACTAGCCAAAATGTTAAGATCTAAATAACGGATGCAGGATTTGAACCCAGGTTATTTAGTTCCAAGAACTACATTCCCAACTGGTACCTGGCTTTGTGGTCAGTGGAGTGAACCAAGGCCTAGACAGATGAGCTGGTTTTTCCCACCCCAAAAGCTGAACGAGGTGAGGACCTGGGTCCTCCTTCTTCCAGGACCGATGCCCCAGAGAGGTACACATTCTCCCTGCTTAGGCTTTTCCCCTGAGCCCACTCCCTCCCACACCACCCTTGCCCGAGCTGAGCCCTACCTCCTTGAAGCAGATAAACTGAGTCAATCACCCCCCAGTTCCTCACCAGTCCTGAGAGCCCTCAGGGCTTCCTGCCATTCGGCGTCCATTTGAGCCCTGTAGTCCCCAAACAAGGATCGCATCAGCTGTCTCTTCCGGGGCAAGGGAGTTTTTTCACTGCGCAAGGTTCGGATTGCCCCTACAGCCTGCTCTTCTGCGGATAAAAATAAGGAGCCGGTAACTTCACACACACTCCCTACAAAAGCAACAATTCCATCCCCTGGCAGTACCATCAGGCTACAGCACGGTCACCATTTACATTTCCCTAGCTACAAAGAAGGGGCTCTCACTCTGCTTCGGGGTGGGTCTCTGCGTCTTGAGACCCAGCTCCAGCTGCTCCACACACCAGGCCAGCTCCCTCGCCAGCTGCTCCGCCTGTGATGGAAAGATCGTGGCTGTCACGGGCATCAGGACCCCGCAGACCCCAGCCAGTCCCATCCCTTCAGTGCCTTAATCCCGCACACCTAAGACCACACTCGCAGGAGGACGAGCTAGCACCCAGAAAGCTCACAGGGAACCCCGCCCTTACCTGGGCTTCAGCGCTGGGGGGAGCTTCGTCTACCACAGGTTTCTCCGAGATCTTTTCGTCTCTATTTGTCGCAGAGACCCTGTTCGGGGTTTTCTTCTTCTTTTGCTTCATCGATACAGTGTTGCTCACGGGATGTGCTCTGGTGGCAGAGTCGCAAGCAGGTTGCGCTAAACCCAGAAGGGGCGGATCTGAGGCACCGGAAGCCGGGCGGGGGAGCCGAGGTCTGCGCGGAGCGCGTTGAGTTCTCCGGCTTGAGGCTGCTGGAGCCTCCCGAGCAGGACGCTCTAACTCCTGGAAAACGTGGGACAGGAGGAAATTCGCAGGGGCCCCACACCCAGAGCCTCGCTACACAAACGCTTTCCCCCAAAGCTCACCGCCATGCGCCGGAGCGGTGACCGGAAGTCGTAGCTGACACTGATCTCAGTCCTCCGGAAACGCGTCTACGACCGAGAGTTCCGCAGAAGACGCCGCGGATCCAGCCGGCGGTGTGGCTGGGGCAAGCGCTCAGAAGGGGCGGGAAGCACTCTGGGGATCTGGGCGCGCAGCTCTGGGAGGATCCGGGCAGAGAGCGCAGGGACGAACGTGGAGGCTTCGGAGAACCCAGCCGAGTGCATCTCTGAGAACGCAGACGGATACGCGGTGAGATAGGGATGGAACAGCCCTCCCTCCTCCCGGGGCGGGGCAGAGCGCCCAGAAGTGGGGCGGGGCAGGGAGGGGCGGGGCGCCACGGGGAGGGGCTGGAGAGTCGGCTCAGTAGTTAAAAGCACTTCTTGAAGTTGCATAGGACCCGGCTTCGATTCCCAGCACCCACGTGGAGGCTCACCACCTCCTAGGGCACCAGGCCCGAATGTGGTGCGCTGACGTACATGCGCGCAAAACTCATATACATACAATTGTAAAAATAAAAAAGAAGCTGTGTGCGCAGAGATTGACTTACAACACTGCAGTAATATGGGATGTTGAAGGGCTAGTGGCTAACCACCTTATCTTGGACTACTTCTAGAAGATCTCTGTCAGAACTAACATCTTGTTGTGAAATAAATAGATACAAACCTTTTAGAATCTGTTTACTTAGCAGACCACTAACTTCCACCAACCCCAAAGCTTCAATAACATCTTGGGCCCATAGAAATGCTTCCCCATCTCATTGTAACTTTCTCTCTGGAGTTCCTACCAGTGTAAATTTGCCTTGATTTATGACTCTCTTCCATAAATCCAAGACCTTGTAAAACCTGTTTCCACATTGGAACATGGATCTTAGGACAACCTAAATCTGTGTTCCTGGGCCATGGTCACTCAAAATGGCTCCAGAACAAACCACGTCTTAGTCCCTTAGCACTGTGAGCTTCGATTCTACAAGGCACTGGATTATTGGTACCTTCTTTTCAAATCTTGAGGAACAGCCCGTAACTACTGTTGTATGGCATTTTCCTCAGAACCCCTGACAGGATGGGAGGAGGAGGCTTATGAGGTTCTGGAGGAAAACAAAAGGTTTGTGAAAACAGAAAGGGCCTTGCCAGCTGTATAAAAATGTTTTTGTTTTAATGTATAACTATGTCTTAGGGTTTTTTATTGCTGTGAAGAGACACCATAACCATGGCAACTCTTTTTGTTTTGTTTTGTTTTTCGAGACAGGGTTTCTCTGTCTTTGGATGCTGTCCTGGAACTCGCTCTGTAGACCAGGCTGTCCTCGAACTCACAGAGATGCGCCTGCCTCTGCCTCCCGAGTGCTGGGATTAAAGGCGTGCGCCACCACTGCCGCTGCTGGCACATGGCAACTCTTTAAATGAAAACATTTGACTGAGCTGGCTCGCTTACAGTTTCAGGGGTTCAGTCCATTATTACCATGACAGGGAGCGTGACATCATGTAGGCAGATGTGGTACTGGAGCTGAGAGTGCTACATCTTTCAGGCAACAGGAAGTTGACTGACTCACACTGAGGGAAGCTTGAGCAAGAGAGACTCTCCCCACAGTGACACACTTCCCCCAACAAGGCCATATCTCCTAATGGTGCCACTCCCTTTGGGGGCCATTTTCTTTCAAACCACCACAAACTACATTTTTACTCTTCTTTAAAATTACATTCTTCAGCCGGGCGTTGGTGGCGCACGCCTTTAATCCCAGCACTCGGGAGGCAGAGGCAGGCGGATCTCTGTGAGTTCGAGACCAGCCTGGACTACCAAGCGAGTTCCAGGACAGCCTCCAAAGCCACAGAGAAACCCTGTCTCGAAAAACCAAAAAAATAAAAAATAAAAATAAAATAAAATAAAATTACATCCTTCATTGCATCAGTTAATTTATGAGTGTATGTATAAATGTGCGCATGTGTACTCATATATACCATGGTACACACGTAGGATGTTTAGGGAGTCAGTTTTCTCCAACGTGGGGATCGCAGGGTTCACTCGAGTCCTCTTACATGGTGGCAGGTGCCTTCACCCACTGAGCTTCTCACACCATCCACCGTGCTTTTTGAGGCAGGGTGTCTCAGCGGGATGTAGGCTAACCAATTAGACTACGTTGGCTTGCCCACAAGCCTCAGGTGCACTGGTCTCTCTCTACCCCTCCTAGGATGAGATTACAAGCGTGTCATTAAACCCCGCTTTTACATGGGTTCTGGGGATCCACCTCAGGTCCTCGTGTCTGCACTTTACCTACAGAGTTAGTTCATCAGCCTCTGACTGATGATTTGAAATAGGGTTTCACGTCCTAGGCTGGCCTTAAACTCACCATGTAGCTAAGGATAGCCTTGAACTTCTGATCCCTTTTTGATCCTCCTGCCTCCACCTCATTAATGCTAGGATTACAGGTGAGTTTATGAATTGCTGGGGATCTAACCAAGACAAGGCTTTGTGCCTGCTGGGCAAACATTCTAACAACTGAGTTCCATCCAAAGCGCAATACACACACACACACACACACATAAGAGCATGCACTGAGAGTGTCTCTGTGTGTATTTGTTTGTTGTTAGTCAAAAAATACTCGTTTAGGGTAAATATACTTGTCTTTATTAACAAAAAAATTTTTCCTCTTGAGTACACATTTGAGAATGAGTGTTTCCTTTGTTTGGTTTGTTTGTTTGTTTTTGACACAGGGTTTCCAGGGTTTCTCTGTGTAACAGCCTCTGGCTGTCTGGAGCTCACTCTGTAGACCAGACTGCCTCAAACTCACAGAGATCCACCTGCCTCTAACTCCTGAGTGCTGGGATTAAAGGAGTGAGACACCATGCCCACCAGCCTAAGTGTTTACGTTTTTAATTTTTTTTTATGTTATGTGCATGGGTGTCTTGTATGCATGTGTGTCTGTTTAGGATTTGTGTGCCTGGTGCCCAGGGAAGCCAGAGGACTTCACCTCTGCTGGGATTGGATTTACAGGCAGTTGTGAGCAGTCAGTCTTTCGGATGCTAGGAATTAAGCCCCAGTGCCCTGGGAGAGCAGCCAGTGTCCTTAACTGCCGAGCTATTCTCCAACCCCCTTGTTTACTGTTCTTCACTTTATAGTCTGCGATTTCCCAGGTAATTTTTATAAGGTTATCTACTCAGTATTTCTGAAATTACAACAGGGGCTTTTTGTGTGTGAACACCTTGTGTAGTAATAATTTTTTGTCTAATATGCCCATAAAAACGAGCATATAATTAATTCTTGTAAATGTTCTATGAACACCCCTACAAAAATAAACTACCTAATTAAGGAATTTTTCTTCCACTCACCTGCCAAATTGTTCATTCGTTCTTATGTGTTTACTTTTCATTCACCAGTGTGAGACATGGAATCTCTCGGCCACTGAACTACACCCCCCAACCGTGTTACTTTTTAAATCAAGCTACAACCTGTTCCAACTCTTAAAATCTCCCCTTATCCCGGTATATTTAGTTCTTGCTATGCTTTTGGTAGTATTCTCTTACTGAGTTGCTACCTCGTGTGTGCTCGGGTCCCTTACAGCCGCTTTCACAAGCAAGGGATGCGGGAGTTCACAGGGTATAGCTTTGAACCATCGAGTCGCCAGAATTCCTTGGGCCTAGAGCAGCCTTGCGTAGAAGCGTGGGACGGGGCCGCGGGCCGGAAGTGGGGCGGGGTTTTGGAGGGTTGGTGGCGGCTGAATTGGGCTTGCACGGTGGCCAGCGCGAGCCCCCGGTGAGTTCACTAGGGAAGCCTCCGCTTGGGGACCGCCGTCATCTGGTGTCCCCAGCGTGGCGGGGATGCAGACTCTGCTGCACAGGGCGGGGCTGGTGCGAACAGGGGCAGAGGCGGCGTGGGAGGGATTGTGATGGAGCTGGGACGAGGAGGGGCTGACAGGTGTGCGGCGAAGGTGCTCCGGGCTTGGGAACTCAGTCGCCGGTAGAGAGGAACAAGCCCGGGTGTAGCTCCACTCCCGGCGTTCTGTCCGGGATGCCCAGCGGCGGTGGATCGGTGGAGCCGGTTCCAAGAAAGAATTTCGTAGCTGTTAGGCGGCTTTTAAGAGGGGCGGGGAGGGGGTGTGGAGAGTCAGTGTGACATTGGTCTTCCAGTTAGCTCAGCCTTTAACCAGGAAATATTGTTTCCGAGCTTATTCAAGCCATTGGCAAGCCTTGTGGCTGCTACAGAGGTTTATATTTCTTTGCCGAGTTCTGACAAGAGCAGCCCGTAATTCCTGGAGGTTCCTAATGCGGCTGCACATCTGGGGACTAGCCAGAGAAGCCATTGCTCAGCCCTTTCTAGACCACCTCCACCCCACAGGTGACAGGTGGCGCCTCCTGATGTCCCCCCCAGCTTTCTTTCCTCCCAAAGCCGAACAAAGCACCCCTCTTCCCGGGGCAGCAGGAGGAAGAGCCCCTTGACCCAGCTCGTTGTCCTAACAGGGTGTGTGCAGGGTGGGGTGCACCTGTGTTGCCCTCTAAGCACCCGCAGCCCTATAGACCTGCGCTGCATCTCGCAATGCAGGCCGGTGGGGCCTAGTGCAGTGCGCTCTACTTCCTGGTTTCTCTGTCCACCCTGGCCATGTCACGGCTTCTGGAACCTTCCTTGCACGCGTCTACACTCCCCGCTTCCTTCACACCTACCTCTTTCCCTTCTTCATCTTTAGGTCGCCTGCTCTTTGAGAGCTGCTTTACTACCTAGTTAAAACGCCCCGTCTATGACGCCTCTGCTGCCCTGCCTCACCGATGCATTTACTATGATCCTTTACTCCAGTGAAAGGACAGTGTTCCTTGCTCTGTCACCCCAAGAAGCAAAGCCATGTAGTTGGTAAGCAGGAAACACTATTTGTTTATTCATTCATTCGTTTGTTTACACACATACCCCAGACAGGGTTTCTCTGTATAACCCTTGCCATCTTGGAACTTGCTGGCTGGCTTCAAACTCAAGGATCCACCTATCTTTGCTTCCTAAGCGCTGGGATTTAAGGCATGCATTATCTGCTAGAGCAGTGGTTCTCAACCTGTGGGTCTGGACCCCTTTGCATATCAGATATTTACATTACAATTCATAAAGACGTCATAGCAGAATTACAGTTCTGAAGTAGCAGTGCAGTCATTTTA